TTATTTATAAGTTTTTCCTTTTATAATTGAAGTTTAATGGACCATCTTTTAAATTGTTTCTTTTTGTTACTTATACTTCTTTATTATCTAGTTTTTAGGATCTTTTATAGCATGAGGTCCTTTATTTGTTAAGATTCATGCATATTTAATTCCTTTTATTTTTATATTTCCTCATAAGAAATAGTGAATTTTCTCTTCTAGTACTTTATCCATTTTTTCTTTTCCCACATTCCTTTCTCCTTTAATTTTATTTATTTTTTCCTCTTTTCTCTAACACTCTAAACTTTTTTTCTTTAAAGGAGGGTGTAAATGGGACAAATAGGAGTATAGCCATGATGATGGAGTGAATATGAGTTATAATGGTATTAAAGTGAAGACAAAAAATATAAATTATGGAGTGAGGATAAGTATAACAAGTTATAAATTATAGAACATTGATGATGTGACATCAAGTAGATATGATAATAAAGTGAGGACAAAGATGAGGACAAAGATGAGGACAATTATAATTAGTTTAAATAAAAATATTATCTTAGAATTTTTTTTATGTTTGAGGAGAGGATAAAAAAAATATGGAAAATTTCTTACATTTAATGTTGAATAAGGAAGAGGATTGTAAGTCCAACCTAAAGCAAATTTTAAATGAAAGCCAAAAAGAAGATGGTTAAAACAAGGTTTTCTAGATTGAAGATGTAGAAATAGAATTTTTCATTTGTAGTGGTTTTTTGTGGAATGTTCTTTACTTTGATTCAAAGTTGTGGTTTTTAAGTTGGTTCAAATATTTTGCAATTGCTCATATATCCCGCTCTGTTGAGTTAAATTTTACTTTATGGTTACTCTTTAATAATTAATTTAAAAGCTGAATACCACTTCTACCAAACCAATATTTGTAAATAGTACTTTTACAACCACAATGATTTGGATTTCTAAGCACTCAATGTATTTTAGCAAAAAGAACAAATTTGCTAAAATTGTATATGAATCACCCTCCCACAAAAGAACCATTTTGTTTATCTCTTATAAGGGACTCCCTCATTAAAAAGCACAAAAATGAAATGAAACACTCATCACCTCTTAAAAAAAGTATATTTACTCCTTTATATTTCCTTTATAACAATGGCTTTGTTAGAAGGATGCAAACTTTCAATACCCACAATCACATTTACAACACTTTGCCTCATTAAGGAAGATTGATCTCTTAGAGGTTCTTCTCACATGAACCTCAAGAAATTCATAGAAAGTCTTATCTCATTCATTCATAGAAATTTAAATCACTATAAGATTCTGCTAGCATTTCAATGCCAGATGATGGCCCTTTAAACTGGCTTGTCCAGGGATTCTTGTATCAAGGTTGGAGGATTCTAATTGTCCACAAAGAAGGAAACAAAAATGATGTTCGCAAAGTTTCTCTTAGCATGCTTGAGAAGGACAAGGAGGGGAAGTGGCTTGTGCTATACCAGAGCTGCATCCAAGAGATTGTTCCTCTATTGGCATTTCATTTGGCAGAGAAGAAGTGGGAGTGTTGCGGCCACACGGATCAGGAGCTTGCAGAGTTTGCACTCCACTGGCCCAAATGCTGCCCAAGCATCCATGCCTATATGGAAGAGGACATTGTGTTGGAGGCCATGAACCGAGTGAGTGGAAGAGGAGATTGTGTTAAGGATTACAAAATTAGATTCCAAATCATGGGTTATTGCTAGGAAAGTTTGGGTCACTGATGAAAATGAAGTTATGGAAGAATACACACTTTTTTTTGCATGGCTTAGTTTCAGGAGAAAAGCCTCATAAAACTAATTGTAAGGAGTGATTTGTACTTTTTTATGTCAATGATCATTTCTGATGTTTATTACATGGAATGTGGGGAGTAGAAACACATCAGTAATTTAATGGATTTTTGTTGTTGTAATGACTCATGTCATGTCAAGATCGTAGAAGCCGTCTTTTTGCTTTTTGGTTGTAGCCAGGATTGCATCGCATTATCCCACTGTCTATGGACACCTAATTTCCCGAGCCAGAATTGTATTGGAGAATGAAGCTAGTGTCGGTGATTCACTGTCTTGTTATTAAGCACTGCAATCCGGTAGATCCCTGTGTCGGGGTCCACATCCGTCCGTTCGAGAAAATCGTCCGGACCACCCAGGGAATGCCAGGATGCTGCTGCTTCCCATGGCGATCTAGAAACGATCGAGACGTAAGAATGCGGTACCAGGAGCGTCCGAGCGACGCTGTGGACACCGAGTAGCAGGAGGATGCCCACGAGCATCTCCTCCTCACAAAGCCGAAAGGCAGAGCCGATCGCCATGCTAGCTTATGCCCTCTTTTGATTATTTCTTTCATTACCTTATTGCTAAAGGAGCCTATTAATTCAAAAATATTCCGAATCTCCACCTGCGAATATACAAGTCATAAGGTCAAAAGTACTTAATCAATTTAACATTCTAAATTGAAGAATGCAACCTTGTCTTCTTTCTAATCAAACTTTCTATGGAAATTCTTCTACTTTTCATACTCCTAAATCGATTTGTGACAGCACAGGTTTCTTGCTTAGAACACAAAAGGATTTACTCTAAATTCTTTTGTTTTTTTCAGGAATGTGGCTTCTTTTCAAGGACATGTCAAAACTATAGAATCTCAAAACTTGGTTACTTCTGGGCTACTTGCTATAAAGAAGATCGCGCTTACACAAAACATTGGTTTATTGTTCTCAACGAGTATGTAGAGAATGTGAATGGAGAGCTCAAACCTGGGGGTTCGGAGTTTTCAAGGACATGTAGCCAGCTACGAATCATTAGATTCCACACAGAATCTTCTGATCTCAATCGGGTGGGAATTGGAGGCTATTGCAAAGATTTTCATGGAACACCAACTTGGTCCCAATTGGATGTGGACTCCCATGTAAAGAATGTGGATGGATACCTCAAATGGTGTGGTCCTTGGACATGGTAACGAAAAACAGTCACTGGTAAGTTACTGATTTTAACATGAAAATATGTTAAGTATAACATTTATTCCAGATGGCCTAGAGTTATGTTTAGTAAAATCGTGATTATTCAATATTTATCCATCATATGCCGAAACTCAAGGTTTGTTGAATCAAAAATCATGGGAAAAAAATTATGAATGTGATGAACAAGCATTAAAACAATAGTATTACGGTTTTAAAAACCACGAAACTGTTTTAAATGTCATTCATAACCATTAGATTAAAGACTCTCAAGGAGAGCCGTTAGATGACTTATAATGGATTTGCTTATAAGAATGGAGGGAGTGGAGCCTAAAACCCTAAGAACAGAGCGATGCTAGGTTTTAGGCGCTCCGGCGATCGGTTCCAATGCGGCAAGGATTCCTCCATCCAGCAGCAGCTGCCGCGGTTGGGATCCACCTCGAACGAATGGACGCTGGCGAGCTCCGATTCTCGCAGAATGAAGAAGGTTCTCGTCTCCGGCTTGCCCGACTTTCTCGATTCGGGTAAGTCCTCGCGCTAGCGATCTCTTCCGCACGGATATTTCGATCGATCGCCTCAAAAATCTCGCGTCTTTGCTCGCAGAGGGCCTGTTTTGCTTCTTCGAGCAGAATTTCGGCCCGGTCTTGGATGCTGTCGTGCTCCCATTCCATTCCGCCGATGGCCAGCGAGGAAGATTTGGCGTCGTCACATTCAAGAACAAGAACGCGTTCCTCGAAGCTATCCGGATGAAGAGCGGCTACATCTTTGGGAAGAAGGTACGCAGTCGAGTGAAATATGTCTCGAGCAAGCTTGATTCCTTTTCCATGCCTGCCAGGCGATGATCGACATCGTGGAGGCTCGCGTTTCCAGGGACTTGCTGCCACCAGCTGACGAGAATTCCAAGAGACAGTTTGGAGAAGACGCTCCTCCGGCAAGCCTCATGCATTCTCCTTCGCTTCCTCCCTGGGCTCAGAGGTTCCGGGACTGGCTGCCGGGTTTTCTAGCCGAGGTTTCCAAGCGTCTGGCGAAAGGCGAAGCTTATCCTCTTTGCTCGCTGAAAGGCGACTTCCGGGCAACTTGTGGGCTGGAGATGGATCACGCGTCACTTGGTTTCGAGAAACTGAGAGACTTCATCCGTGCGTGGCCAGAAATCTGTGAGCCGAAGCTTGTGCCAGTGGGATCGGGCCCAGCGACACACATTGTTCTCGAGCGAGTGATGCCAGACACAGCAACAGAGATCCAGCAGCGGGAGCCGACTTTCGGATTGGGACCACAGACACGCAGTGAGAGTGTGTTGCCAGCTACCGAGACTGTGATCCAGCAGCCAGACCCGGGGCCGTCACAGCCACCTCAAGCTCCACCAAGCGATGTTGTCCAGGGATCGTTACTCAGCCGCAACGTTCTCCAGGATCTGTACAACGAGAACATCCCGACACTCCGCCGCAACGTGCTTCAGGATCTGCACAACGTGGAGAACGTCCCACCACCACCACCCAGCACCGGTACGATGCGCAACGTCTTTGACAACGTCGAGCACAACACTCTACCACCGAGCACCGGTGTACTGTGCAACATTTGCAAGGAGGAAGCGCTGTGGTCCGGCATTCCGTGCAGGCATCTTGTGCTCTGTGACTCCTGCAAGAAGTGCCTCGACAAGTGTGGTCAGACCCGGGGGATGTTTTGCCCCGTGTGCCATGATCCGGTCGAAAGCATGGTAAGCTTGTAAATTCTGCTTCAAGTGTTTTTCTCACTATTACGTTGCTTTTACTAGGACATGCTGCGATCGGCTGGCAAAGCGCCGAAGATGATACGTGAGGACGACGCTCCGGCAAGCCTCGAGGGACTTGAATTCGAGAAATTGAGTGCCTTCATCCGTGCTTGGCCAAAGTCGCAGCTTGTGCCAGTGGGACCGGGACCAGCGATCGATCGTGTGCTCCCAGACACAGCACCGAAGATCCACCAGCCTGAGACTCCAGCTCCGCCGGCCTACATGCTCCGCCGCCAGTCCGCATAGAGTGCTTCCACCATCTCTCACCGAAGGCCCGGTACTCTTTTAGTTTTCTGCTTTGTTGATACTTTCGATCGATTTTGCTGTACAGAGTTAGAGCTAGTCGAGACAATTTCGTTTCTGACGAGGAAGTGTACATTCGTATTCGTGGTCCATGAAAGTGTTCTTTTCCGCAAGAACTCAAGTCTCGATCTTCATAAAGGTAGTTTGGTCTCTTTTTCTTTCTAGCACGTTCTTCGTGCGAACGTTCTGAACGGCGGTGATCACGCCATATGGACCAAAAGCTGACGGCTCAGATGCTCTCTATCTTACGAACCTAGGGATCCACTCACTTCCGGCTTGCTGCTCACACTTGCGAGCGTTGGCGATGGCGGTTCCAACGCTCGAGGTAAATATTTAATCCATTATAGCAGCAGTAGCTATGGCGAAGAGCTTAGTTAGCGCCAATGCAAGACTAGCAGTAGAGCAGGCTGATAGAAAGGCAGGGAGCAGCGCTCATCGCTGTTCTAGCAGCAAGCCTTCTAGCATAGAGCGGATTAGAGGACCCGGGGCAGTGCATTTCGAGTTGGGATATGGCAGGAAGCCGGTGCTATCGACGACGAATCCGCTTCCGCTACTCCATTGGTCATCGAAGTGGCTCCCTCGGACTCCATTGAATCGTCTCCACGCGGACTACTTGTTAACTTGCAGCTCCAATGCCGTCTCCAGTGACGATTCCAAGGCCGTCTCTGAAGATGGTGAGGGTGATGGCTTAAGTTCTAGCTCTTCCAGCAGGAAAGTTGTAGAGGAAGGAGGAGAAGTTTCTAGCAGTGGTCGTGGTGGGGAGGGAGGGAGGAAGGAGGAGGAGGAGTCATCCAAGTTTCGCTGGATGCCTGAGTGGCTCAACCTTACAAAAGACGATGCCAAGACGATCGTGATTGCGTTTCTAGCGTCGATGCTGTTTCGGTGGTATGTTGCGGAGCCGAGGCTTATTCCATCGTTGTCGATGTATCCTACTTTTGAGGTTGGAGATAGAGTGGTCGCTGAAAAGGTACAGGCATTTTTTTCCCCCTTTGTTTTCTTTCGTGCGTGACTCCTCTCTTGTTGCAGGTCTCGTACTACTTTAGAAGTCCAGACGTAAACGACATTGTCATCTTCAAAGCTCCGGATGTTCTCCAAGTGAGTGTGTCGATGGGAGATATTGTTTGTGCTGAGGCGGGTTTCGCTTTTTGTTTTCCACAGGCCAGGGGCTACAGTGCTGGAGACGTTTTCATCAAAAGAGTCGTGGCTAAAGAAGGAGATGTTGTAGAGGTAATCAAACGCTACTGCGCAAGAAGTGTTAAAACATTTGTTTTCTTTCGTGACAGGTTCGCAATGGAAGGCTTGTCTTGAACGGAGTGGAAAGAATGGAGAGTTTCATTGCCGAGCCACCCGATTATGACATGCCTCCAGTCGTAAGCATTCCTTGTATTCTAAAGCTAAACTCCTCGCTTACGTTTGCTTGCCAAACTGCAGACCGTTCCCGAAGGCTACGTTTTTGTCATGGGCGATAACAGAAACAATAGCTACGATTCTCATATCTGGTAAATCTCTTTCATTTCAGCGTTTTCTCGATGTTGAGACTCGCTCGCTCTTTCAGGGGACCTCTCCCGGTTAAAAACATCATAGGAAGATCGGTGCTAAGATACTGGCCGCCAACGAGGCTGGGCAGCACAGTACTGGAGGAAGCGCCACAACTGTCGTCACATCGTGCGTTGTTAGAGAGCTCAAGTTGAAAGCTCCGTATCGACACTATCTCTTTTTTTGTTCGAGGGGCTCACTTGCGATTAATTTAAGCAATGCCGGAAGCAATCGCGTTTGTTTTGTGAGCAATTGGCGAGAAAACAATTCTAATATCTGATAGAGAGACTAATCAAAGGTTTCTTTCACTGTCAAGCTCACGGCATCAGCGGTCTAATTGCACTGAGGGTTATGTTGATCCCGCAGTTCAACGCTTTGCGATTACTATTACCTTGCAACTAGACTGTCTTCCATGTATGATCTTCCCAGCATGGGCGACTTTGAGAATGCTAAGCTGCTGAGTTTCAATTGCGAGGATACTCCGGCGAGCTCCTGGTCTCGAGGATCACGATCCGTAATACAGCTTCCACGAGAAGAACTGCTCGAAGTATGTGATGAACACCAAGAAGCTGCTAATGAGGTGGTCGTGGTTGTGATCACTATAGAGCATTTCAAGATGGTTACGAGTGGCCACAATGGTGGTTGCCAAAGTTGCCATTTCTGCTCTTGGTGGTTGTTCTGTATTACTTGCTGATTAGCCTCATGGTTCTTCAAGTTGGCAGGCAATAATTGTACAACGTCCATTCGTCTTGAAACTTGACTCAGCAAAGTATGAGCTAACCTTCCAACATGAAAGAATTGAATAATAAATAATTATTATAGAAATTTTCCACAGTGCTGGATGCTGCATTGCAACTCATACAATCAATGCCTTTCGAGCCATCCATTGCCTCAAAAATATCTTGATCCATATGGAAGCAAGTAGAAACCCATTCTCTAGAAAGTGGGAAATAACATTCAGGGTGCTGAACTGAAGTAATTGTACATGAGCACAGGAATCCTCCATGTACAGCAGCATTGGCACAAGTTCCTCCTTTCTTGCAGGGTCCATATGAGAATACATTACAAATATTTAATGCCTAAGTTTTTTTTATCTTTTAGAAGTTGTGAAAATACAAATATTTTAAACAGATACCATCTAATTTAATTAAATTAATCTTGTATTATAATTTATAAACTTTTATAAACACTTTTTGTGAGGGCCAAATGTACGGTTACGATGCCATATATTAATATTAGCATAATGGGATTTTGGTAGCCATCGAATTGGTTTCAATTCGGACCACTCACTCTTGTGTATAAGCTAAGGTTTTTAGGTTAATTGATATGCACATTTTTTATATTCCCTTTCTATATTCCAAGCACTTACATTGGTGGAGGTGAGAGGCACCTTTGATTGTCCTTGAAAAGTGCTTGAATTTGGGATTTTGGTTTAGATCTAACTTCTGTATCATTTAAATCTAGTTTTTTCCATTTCTTCTCTTTTGTTCTTCCCTTTCAGGATTTTGGTTTAAATCTAACTTTTTGCATTGTCTAGATCTCCCATTTCCTTCTCACTTTTTGTCGTTTCTCTTCTTTTGCTCTTTCTTCGTCCCTTTTCATAGCAGATCAGCAATCTCCTCCTTTGACTTTGGAGCAACAATTGATACAATTGCTTGATGCTATGCATTTGCAATTGACTAACCAAACTTAGTTGATAGCGGCGTTCATGGCACATGGTACAATTCCTCCTGCTCTTGGTGCTAATCCTCGCATTCAGCCGGAGTTCTTTCGCGGGAATCCTGGGGATGATGTGTACTATTGGTTCGATTACTTCACGGTGATTGCCACATATCATTCTTGGGATGATGTTTGACGTTTGCATGAGTTTCCCACGTGTCTCCAAGGGACGGCATTGCAATAGTACAATGGTCTAAGCACAGCCACTCGTGGGGATTAGAGTGTTCTCCTGGATGTCTTCAAACGTGCTTTTGAACATGCCGACGACTATGATGATGCCTTCCAACAATTGCATCGTCTTTGCCAATGTCCATTTGAGTCGGTGATGCAATTTGGCATTTGTTTCCGAAGTCTTTTGCTTCGTGCGGAGCCAAATATGTCGAAGCGGATCAAATTAAGAATGTTATGGCTAGCACTTCATCAAGATTTTGTCGAACTTGTGCATGCACTTGCTCCTGTGACCCTTGATGATGCCCTTTGCCTGGCACAATGTTATGAGACATCGCTTCTTCCACTTCTTGCTGCCCGTCCTTCACCTCCCCTTCCTGTGGGTGATGGTCCTATTCCAATGGAGGTTGATGCTGCTGCTGCTCGAGTCCAAGGACAAGGGCGAGGACGTGGTTGTGGCCGTGATGTTTGCTGCTGGGCGTGTGATGAAGTTAGTCATACTTATTAGCGCTGTCGGCGTTTTCCGGATTGGCGACCTCCATTTCTTGGGTGGAGACCTTAGCATTAGCAATGTCCTGTTGGTGCTGCTGCAGTGGAAGGTTTGGACACTGAGATGCATCCGAGAAATGAGGAGTTGCACAAGTAACAAAGGAACTTTGCGCGAATAAGTCAATGACCCCTCCATCTTTCTTTCGGGAGTATCATCAAAGGGTTCACTCGGCACCGGTTCATCCAGTGTTTACTTTCCAAACTCATTTATATAACAAGAGGTCTCTTATTATTCTCTCCGTGTTAGTTGATACAAGTTCGAGTTTATCTTCTATTGCTCAACTTATTGCCACACATTGCCATCTACACTTACATTGTGTGATGGAACCAGTTTTCATTCTTTATGGCAACGGCCGTACACATGCATGTGCACGGGATGAGGCGGACCTGGTTGTGTGTGTAGGCAATCTTGAGCTTGAGTTGTAGTCATTACGGGTGGTGCTGAGTCAAGCTTTTGACCTCATTCTTGGTATGGATTAATTGCAGCACAATCATGCTAAGTGTGACTTTGAGGCTTCTCCCCTTTGTCTCATACTTCCTTATGCTTCATCCATTCCTTTCACTTTTATACCTCTTCATCCCTCTATTTCTACCTCTGCTTCCATTACTTTTGTTCCCCCACTATTTCCTCCTATGTTTTCGTCTTGTTTTGCTCTTCCCTTTTTCAATCCCTTCGACAGTCTTTGTGTTGTAGCATTTGACCAGCTCATGAAAGAGTATTCTGATCTCTTTGAATTTGACCTATCGTATGAGGCCAAAATTGCCACACATCATCCGATTCCAACCAAGGATGCTTGTCCAATCAAGGTTCTTGTTCGTCATCGGTCACCTAAGGAAATCAAGATTTTACATACTAACGTCAAAGAGATGTTGGAGAAGGGTGTTATTCAGAAGTTATGGAGTCCTTGGGCATGTGAACCTCATCTTGTGACAAAGTCTGATGGGAGTATTCGTTTCTGCATCGACTATCATCCGTTAAACAAAGTGACGATCCCAGATGTGTACCCTCTTCCTCACACTGCTGATCTTTTGGATCGTCTAAGGCGAAGTCGTTAGCTCACCAAGCTAGATCTTGCTTCTGGGTACTGGCAAGTACCTATGGCCGAAGAAGATATTCCCAAGACTGCTTTTTGTACACCGTTTAATTTGTACGAGTTCTTGGTGATGTCGTTTGGTTTGAATAATACTTCAGCAACTTTCCAACAGATGATGGACGAGGTCCTTTGCGATATGCCAAAGGTCACTGTTGACTTCATTGATGATGTCTTGATCCACTCGGAGGGGACATGAGAGGAGCACGTTCATGATGTTTGTAAAGTGTTGGATCAACTATGCGACGTTAGTTTAAAGTTGAAGCAATCAAAGTGCATGTTTGGGTCTAAGGACACAACTTATCTTATGTACCATATTTCTCATAAGGGTTTGTAAGTTGATCCTGACAAACTTGTGACTATTCTAAAGTTCCCTACTCTGAAGTGTGTGAATGATGTGCAGCACTTCTTGGGCAAGGTGTAGTATCTCGGTCATTTTGTGGATCATCTTTCTGATCGCACTGCACCAATGCGAGCGTTGTTGAAGTCATAACGTCATCTTTCATCTAGTCTCCAAATTGTGAGCGGACGTTCGTGGATCTCAAAGAGCTATTAACGACTCTTCTAGTTTTGGCATATTCTGACTACACTCGACCTTTTATTTTGCTCATGGATGTTTCTGACATTGGTCTTGGAGGTGTGTTGATACAAGAGAGCTCAAGTGTGCCTGGACAGCACCATCCCATTGCGTATATAAGCCGTACATTACAACTAGTGGAGATGAACTACTCCATGATAGAGAAGGAGTATTTAGTAGCAATCTAGGGTTTCGAGAAACTTCATGCATATCTATATGGTTCTTGAACGTTACTTGAAGGTGATTATGCTGCTGTTACTTCATTATTGAAGTGGAAGAACCTCACGGCCCACCCTTTTTGAAGTTATCACCTTCAACTAGGGTATTTGTTCCCCCGACTTGCCAACCTCACTTGGGGTTGGTCGTACTGCTTGATGGGCTTTGAAGCTTCAAATATATGATTTTGATGTTGTTCATCGCCCAGGGAGTTTTATGGCTGATGCTAATGCCCTTTCTCGAGCTCCTTTTCCTTCTCCACTCTTTTCTCAAGTATATTATTCCAACCTCTATGGATTTTCTAGACAAGGATTTTGTGCCATCAGCAATTGCTATATTTGACGTTCAATGTCCACAAGGTGCAGAGCAAGATCTACCTTCTCTTGATGAGGTTCGTGAGGCTTAAAAGATTGAGCCGTGGATTCGAAGGCTTCGAGATGGGTTTGAGAATCCTGCATCACTTGCTAATGATTTGCCTTTCCGGCATTTACATTCTCAATATCACCTTGAAGATGGCCTTCTTTATTTTGTGGGGATGAATCCTAATGATCATTTACAACTGGTGGTGCCTTCTATCTTTATTCTGCGGTTTTTCCATGCCTACCATGATTCTCCTGTTCTAGGTGGGCATATGGGACATTGTCGTGTAACCGAGAAGCTTCATAGGTCTTTCTATTGGCCGAAGATGCGACGTGATATTATCCAGTATGTACGTAGCTGTGTTTGGTGCCAAGCTCGTAATGCTCCCCCTCGGGCTATGGAAGGACGGTTGAAGTCAATTGCAGTTTCCTATTTGTTTGAATTGGTGGTGTTTGATTTTATGGGACTTTTTCTACGGTCGACTGCTGGCAATGAGTATGTTATTATTGCTTCTGACTACTTGACTCGTTGGGTGCAAATTGGTGCTCTTGTTAGTGCCTCTGCAACTGCTGTTGGATACTTCCTCCTCAATCGAGTGGTGTTCCAGCATTCTTTTCTAGAGCGGATTCTTTCAA